ATGCAGGCTGGCCAAGTGGAGAAAGAGAGAGAAAAAAAATCTCACCTACCCCATTGTACTCTTGTCCACTTTCTTAAGTTTCCCTTTGAAACTGATAAAAATTATACTGACTATAAGAAAGTAACTTAGCAGACAGGAATTCATTTCCATTTCTGACGGTTCCTTTTTCTACTGCTTATTTACAGTTAAATGTTAAATCCTTGACTGCTTTGGATATCACATTAAATTCTTATTCATGTAATATCTTGAACTGTTTCCAGTCTTGAAATTAATTCTAGACTGAACAAATTCTAAATTTAACTTTCCTGCATTAATTCCCGGAAATGACATTGTTTCTGACGGTGTCAACTCCTGAGTTCACATTGTACCCTTCTACTATGGGTATTTATCTTCTGACTTTAACCTAGCTATCTGGCAATTAAGGATTCTCTCTTCTTTTAAAATGTCAATGCGTTTTTTTATACGCTGCTAACATCATGCTGTGTTTGGAGATTCTTGAAATTAAGATTCTCAAACTATACTTGTACTGAAAATTATTCTGCCTTAAAGTACGGCGAGAATTTATCGATCGAATTTACTCGATCGAAAACATGAACTTAACATGAATCTGCTACAGAATTTAGGAATACATATATTAATTCCATAAATCCTTCATTCACAATATAACATAATATTTTCTAGGAAAATCATTGGCTTAAATACATAAATTATATTATTTTCATTGCACCTATGAGGACAGTTTCTCTTTATATGCCCTAACTCCCTACAATGGTGGCACTTGGAACTGTAGGGTCCACTCTTCCCACTTCCCAAAGAGCTGCTACTACTGCTAGGTACTCCCCCACTACCTTCCCCCTGATCGTAGCTTCTTCTATTGTTTCTCTGGGGTCCTCCTGAAGTTCTGCCTGAGGTTTCCCTACTCTGGAGGAAAGCAATGTGCTCTTGTTCGACACAGTTGGTCGCTACAACCAAGTCACTGTAGACTTGATGCCTTAAGGCCACCAATGACTTCCGAATTACGCCTTTAAACCATCTTTCAAACTTGAGGCACTTTATGTGCTCAGACACAATCAGGGAAGGAGCAAAGCGAGACAACTCATTAAACTTAGCTTCGTATTCCCTTACTGATATATCCCCTTGCTGCAGGCCCATAAATTCTATGGTCTTCTCATCTCGGTAGCTCTGAGGAAAGAACTGCTCATTAAAGAACGCTTCAAATTGTTCCTAGGCCATCCCTCCAACATCATGCATTCGCCGAATCCGCTTCCACCAAGCACCATCCAGGCATTCAAACTTAAATGCTGCGAATTTCACCCAGTATTGTTCCGGTACCCCCGTGGTATTCAAATGTTTGGACACCGATTCAAACTAGTATTCAGCTTCTTAAGGTCCACCCAGTAAAGGCGGGAATTGAGCTACGCCTAAACTCATGAAAGTAGCTCTGTAACCTGTCCTCCGCAGGACGTTCATTTTGGGCTCTGGTAGCCATTCCTTGGAAGGTTGCGTACATCGCTTCCATAAACTGTTCGTTCGGCATTGCCGGCGGATTAGCGTTCCTACGGCGCGGTGGCATTCTCTTAACTGAAAGAAAATTAGACCATTTTAGTGGTTCCTGATGTCATTCATGTATGCATAATCCCAAACCCTAAGGTTCAAAACCTAAGGCTCTGATACCAAGTCTTGTCACGCCCCCAAATAGGGGTTAGTGATGTGGAGGCTTGTTTAGAAATTTAAACCTGTTTAAGAAAGTGATTAAAAAATATGCAAAAATTTAAATTTCAAATCCAAAACATCCAGGTATTTCCAAACAAGCCCCACTAATTATGAGAAATTTAGTTTCAAGAAAAGTGCTGGAATTTCCAACGAAACCAGTTTAAAACCTCGCCCTTGGTATCATGTCAGGAATTCCGACAGGTTTAGCATACAAGAATATAACCAAAAGTAAATGTTGACATCAACCACAGTCTAGCAATATTTGACTTTACAATCCATAATTTAGTACATGCCTTGAGGTAAAGGGGAAGGAAAATGTAAATCTTCACTTCTCGAAGACGGGTTCACCTCACCGGTAGTAGCTACCTAGTCTGCACTACTACTCGCGTCACCTGGAAGGATTTAATACATTTGAAACAAGAAAAGTGAGCGGAAGGCCCAATAGGATATAATTTTATAAAACATTGTAAATAAAGGTACCCACAATCCGAAGCATACACCCGGAACCGATCATCTTTTTTTTAGAAAAAGGAAATACTCACGTAGTAGTAGTAAAATATCTATATAATGAAAATATGTAGAGCCATAACACCACTGAGCACGAAGTAGACCGTACAGGTTTCAAGACCTGCCCCCAAGGACACGATTCCCATATCCCGATCTCTGTGGCCACCATGCGTTATATCATTTCTTAAAATATTTCATTTTAAGAAATGATACTCTTTAAAATCTCATTTCTAAAATCATTGGAAAACTTAATAGCATTATTCGTGCTATTTGCTTTAAAATTATTTTCTTTCAACATGTTTTGTTCTAAAACATTTTCATTGGCCAAAACCATTTAAAGTGAGGCTAACAAGGATATGGACAATAATATCCTACCTCTCAGATATCAAACTTGGGCTAGCCTTTCGTTCTCCTAGCCTACGCTTTCCTTAAAGCTTTAATACTTGACATTCTCCACTAGCTTTATCACAAAAGCAATATCTTAGGATGTATTTCTCATTCCTAAAACGAATTAAGCTTAATCATGTTTAATTGTTTCCTATTAGTGTGTCTTGACTCAAATCCAAGTTTCACAAACGATTTTATAATTCAGTTTGGGGGTTCTTTAAAAATTGAAATCCAATTCATGGGTTTGGTTTCCTATTTAATTTCAGCTTCGGCAGCATGCCGACATAAATAGAAAAAATGCCAAGCCTGCAATTCAAGTTCAATTTCAAAATAAATTCTTCAAAAATCATCAAAACCAGTTTCCAATCAATTGATCAAGTCCAATAACTGAAAACTCCCAAATTTAATTTAATTCTAACAACAATTGTTTAAATCCAAACCCTAACTCAAAATTATTCAAATCTAATCAAATTTTTAAATTCTCAAATCAATAACTCAATTTCAAGAATGAGTTTTTAAGAAATCTTTATCTCAAAGTGATTGAAGCTCGTTTCTCTCCATTTCTCTCATTTATGTTTTGTTTTTTGTTTGTTTGTGGGTCTCGGCCAGCAAACCAAGAGAGAGAGAGAGAGAGAGAGAAACGGTCAGAGAGAGAAGGCCGGAGAGAGAAACGGCTGGCAGGAGAGAGAGAGCCCGGAGAAAGACGGAAGTGGCCGGCGGTGGGAGAAAGAGAGAGAGAGAGATGCGGTGGGTGAAACCAGAGGAGAGAGAGAGAAAAGAAAAAGAAAGAAAGAAGGAAAGAGAGAGAGAGGTCTATAGCCATAGGAAGGAAAAGAAGGAAAGGAAAAAGAAGAAAAGAAAAAAAAAAGAAAAAGGAAAAAAAAAGGAAAAAAAAAAGGAAAAAGGGAAAAAAGGAAAAAGAAAAATGCATTAAAATTTAAGTGTATTTTCAAAAACTTTTGGGGTGAAATCATAAATATTAAAAATAATTTAAAGTTCCTTGATTAATTGTGAAAATTAAATTAGGCACACTAATAACTCACAATTTAGCATAATTAAACATGTTTAATTCTAGAGGGCGTCACACCATTCGTTGGTGCCAAGCTGATCACCAGCTGGTCGTCGGTGAATACAATATTTACTCGTAAACACAGTATCTACCTTAAATACGGTATTTACCAACCGCTAGCTCTAGCTGCCAGCCACTAGTCGTCGGCGCTGGCCATGGTGGACTTGACTAGAAAAAGGAAGAAGAAAGGTGAGAAGGAGATGGTATAAGGGTACTTTTAGATTTTTAATAATGTTAGAAACTTAAAATATTAAACTGTGGGGTAATTAGCACGGATAATCCCTAACCTCTTTAGTAGGTGACAGTTTGGTTTTTTTTTTTTTTTTAATTTTGGCAAAACATCCCTCAAATTCCATAATCATGTGCAATTTACACATTTCCGTTAACATCCAACAAATTCCTAGCAAAACATCCCACGCGACCCCTCACATGGCCTTATAATGCGGGGTACAATCGTAAAAGCATGTTGTTAGTCAAATTTGAGCTGAAATTATTCCTTGAAGCTTGCAACATTCTCTTATTCTCCGGAGCCTCGCGTCCCTCTCTCCAAGGAGTTGATGAGAGATCCTGTTGTTGTTTCCACTGGAAAAGTTAGTTTGTCTTCCATTTCACTTTCAGAACCTTTTTTTTTTCTTTTTTGTTTGGTTTTTTTGGAAAACTCGACAAAAGATTGGAAATTATTTGAAGTTTGGGCATGAATAAAAAATTCCTGCTTTTTTTTTTCTTTTTTATTTGGTTTTTTTTTGGAAAACTTGACAAAAGATCGGAAATTATTTGAAGTTTGGGCGTGAATAGAAAATTCGTGCTATGGAGGGCTGTGACAGCGGGGCTGCAATGGGGAGGGCCACGGCGAGGAGATCTGGTTCGCGAGGGGGCTTGAAGTGTGGTGACTTTACGACAAAGGGATTCCAAATCGCTGCAGTAATGGAGTTCTTTTAGTGGTGGCAGCAATTGGGGGGTGGGGTTGCTGCAAGTGGTGGTGAGGCTGTTCTGGAGGTTGTGTTTGGGGGAATCGTATTTTTTTTGGTGCTAGAGGTTTGTTTGTTTGTATTTGTTTTTGCTCTTTATACTCCATAAAATTTAAAAAATAATTAGTTTAAGGGTATTTTAGACTTTTCACAAAAGAAGAGTCACATGAGGAGTGCATTCCGTTAAAAACTTGACAGACGGAAAAGTGTAAATTGCACCTGAGTAAAGCATTTAGAGATTGTTTTGTCAAAATTAAAAAGAAAATGACTAAATTATCACCTACTAAATATATTAGAGACTATCTTTGCAAATTACCCTAAACTGCAGCTATAAACTACTTGTTTTAAAAAATTGTACCATAATTTACTAATTACCCTAGTAATTGTGTTATTTCACTCATTCTCTCAAAAAAAAAAAACAAAAAAAAAACAAAAAAAAAAACAACGCTGACTACACCTTGAGACAGGCACGTTTTTTTTAGCGTGATTGGGTTCTCTATTTCTCTTTTTTTTTTTTTTTTTTTTTTTTTTTTTTTTTTTTTTTTTTAATTGTGACATTCCAATCTAATCTCTTTTTCGCATTTATTTTTTCTCCATTCTACACGAGGACTCAACAAAAGAATCTGAATCCACATTCAAACTACACACCAAACTTCTAGCTTAAAGCTTAACCAATTATAAGTTTTTTACATCGTGGAGGCAGAGACAGCAAATATCATGCACGAGCTCAAAATACAATATAAGCTACGACACAAAGTATGCATCTTCGACAGACCCCTTTTCAAGTGTTGCTTTTGCTAATGTCTCATAATTTATAATAATTTGACACCAGAAACCTAATTACTATACACCAAATTGTTTTTCTCTACACGACATACGGCCAATGGCTATCATGTATTGAAAACAATGAGAAAAATGAGATGTTTTGATAGACAATAAATATTGGATAAACTCATCATATGGATTTAGTTTATGTTTCCATCTTGAGGAGAGTATTGAGGGATGTACTGTTGAATCGCTGCGCAAGGCCTCTGATCACGAGCACAATAACATCTCGGAGGTGTCTAGTTTGCACGAACAGATCTACCTCATTCTCGCTATCAACTACGATTTTAATCCGATGTTGATCATTCCGGAACAGCTCCACCTGAACATACGCATCATTTTTTATTTTCTGGATTACAGCGTTCAATTCAAAGTGAAAACTAGCATGGCCTTTATGCACTAAATTTAAAAGCCAGTGATTGATTCTATTTGACTTGAACATGGTTCTAAAATCCAGTCCAAGCTGTTTCTAGATTTGGTAATTTCTAAATAACGTCTACGATTAATGCAACACAACAAATAAATAAACAAATCAAGGACGTTGACCCTTTCCAAAACAGATACAATAAGTATAGGAATATGTGGCGTTTGCGCACAAACTTACATGAAATGGAGGTGTATAACTACCACGAACTTCTGTAGTGGGAAAAGAAGTCTTGGAACCTGGCTTCACAACCTTGACCCTTTTTCTATTGACTTCAAGAATTCTTCTCTCGAGACTGCTCACTACGGGAAACTGTAATATAGAGAATGAAACAAGTCGTTTGAATCATTTACCCTTTCAAATTATGACAACACCAAGAACAAATTAGAGAGAAGAATAATATCAAATAACAACCTTTTTGGGAGATCGGTCCTTGTCACACAATGCCTGTATCAAAAATCGTAAGATGTGAGCATGTTATAAAGTATTTCTTGTCTAGAATATTCCCAAAACAAATGTAGTATTTTTTTTTTAATAACAAAAACTTTATTGATTAAATAAATCAATTACAAATAGAGGATAAGGTTGATAGAATTATATTAATTATGTTAGTAATTAGTTATCAATATATAATTTGTGGTAAGTGGTTTGTTATTAGAAGGGGTTTGTTATGCTAGCTGTTAGTAGTATACAAGCATCATAAAGAGTCTAGGGGAGGTAGGCAGAATATTGAATGTTTGGGAGAGAGATAGACCTCGAAAGCCTATCAACCTTTGTAGTTTCTCTATTTTCTCTATTATTTCAGTTCCTATAAGTGGTATTAGACCATCGATTCTAGGGCAAGGCAGGAATAAAAAAAAATAATGATAATGGAAGGTTCAACAGAAACGGTGGATGTGGGAAAGAGGTCGACAAATATGGAGGAGAAGAAGAGGATTCTGGATATTTTGGATCGGCTACAGCAACGGCTTGGTGACCAGGGGATGACAGAGACGATGACGCCGCCTATCCCGGCACCGGAGGAGAAAGCGGCGACCAACCACGTTGGATTTTTTAAGTCAATAGGCCCCAAATGTACACCCATTCAATTCGTAGACCCGTTATAAATGGAATTTCAATTTTCATTTTTTTTATTCCTGGGATAAGAGTGAATGACCAAAATATCCTTTAAATGGGGAGGGAAAAACGACGGGTCACCTTAAAGAGAGGCAAAATTATGCCCGATCAGATCTTTCTTACTGGAAAGACCGGTTGGCAATTTTCTTACAGGGCACACCAGTAAGAACTTTCTGACCGGACTCAGGTTTCTTACCGCTCCCACCAGTCAGAACGGAAAGAAATGACAGACGTGAGTTTCTTTGATTTTGCAGATTACTCAACTCCGAAGAGGCCATGAAATAGCATGATTCTTGTTGGTTTTTCAAATAAAATACCAAACCACGATTACCCAGCATTCAAACAATGAAATAAGCATAAAAAATACGAGATTTGAGAGAATACCAGAGGTAGGGGCATTCTCCGGCGGTGAAAGGCGGCGCCGCCGGTGAACTTTGGCCGGCAACGTTTCCTCGTGACTGCCCAGCAAAGGAGGGGATTTAGCTAACCCTTTTCAAACGTTTTTTCTTTTAATTTGAGAGAAAAGGAGAAGGGCATTTAGGGAATACACATTTTTTCATTTAATGAGAGGTCTACTCATTGAAACTTTCTATTTTGGAGCCTACTCATTAAACACATTACACATTTTAAGCCTATTTTTCAAAAGGACCCCCGACGTTACGGACGTTGAGGTCGCGATCTTAGATTGCAGACTTGGCCACAATCCCAGATCTGGCCGTGAGGATGTCAGGGATTGGTCGAGCGAGCACGATGAGACTTCGGCGACGTGAGACGTCGGGAGATACCGCGGAAGGAGGCGGATCTGCCTAGAGAAGAGGCTAGGGTTTTCGGACTTGGAGATGCTGGCCGAAATCGTGTGGAACCGCGCAAGGGAGGGCAGATTGGACCACCACAGAGGGAGGTGGCTGTTCGCGAGGAGAACACACGCGACGAAGGGGTTGATCTCGACCAGAATCTACCCGATCGGTGACGAGATGAGCAGATCGGTGACGGTTGGGGCATAGGACGCCCAAATCCGCGCCGGGAAGTGCCGATCGGCGCCGGTTTTGGCCTAGACGGTACTCGGGGGTGGCAGAATTTAGGATTCGACCAGAATCCTTTAGATCCATGATCTGAAGCCCAAATTCGTTTGGATCCGCACCGTGGGGGCAGATCGGCAACTTTCTGGGGGTGGAGGAGGTCCGGCGACCTCGAAAGGCGGTGAGGCCGGTGATAGAGGGACTGGGTCTCGTGATTCCATTGTGGGCAGAGTCAAATTGGGCTTGGTTGGGGCCTAATACTGGCGTAATAGGGGCTGGCCCTCAATTTCATTTTCAGCAAGATTGGGGCGAAGACCAACGAGATTTGTGCCGGGTCGTCTAATTTTGGGCCAATTAGGGCTGGGTCTGTGTTTTCTGGTGCAATTTTTGACGCAGGTGGAGTGCTTTCAACCATGTTTTTTGCGCTGAACAATGGGTCTGTTGCGTTTTTCGCCCTTGATTTCATTCCCAAAGCATCCATTCCGCCAGTTGTCAATGCTGGAGTAGGCTCTTCAAGGATTATGACGCCCTTCGACATTCCAAGATGGGAAGGAAGGAGATGGCGTCATTCCACTGGGGTCACTTGACCACACCCAGGACAATGTGTCTTTTTGGGGGTTAGTGAGATTAGTTATCAAATATAATTTGCGGTTTGTTATCCTAAGCTGTTAGTAGTATGTATCATAAAGAGTCTATGGGAGGTACGCAGAATATTGAATGTTCGGCTAGAGCTTTGCTCTATTGGGAGAGAGAGAGAGATAGGCCTCTCGAAAGTCTATCAACTGTTATTTCTCTATTTTCTCTATTATTTCAATCAAAATCTATTGAGGTTCCTATCAAAGGAGGATTTATTTCAGTCAAATCTATATTATTTCAGTCAAAATCTATTGAGGTTCCTATCAAAGGAGGATTTATTTCAGTAAAAATCTATATTATTTCAGTCAAATCTATAAAGATTCCTATCAAAGGCATCCTCCCTGATGAAACAAATGCAAAAAGCACCAAAAACTTTAACTGTTATTTCTCTATTTTCTCTATTAAATCAGTCAAAATCTATAAAGATTCCTATCAAAGGTAGGAGCACCAAAAACTTAATGCTTATACATCCTTCCAATTCAATACGACGAATGAAAAGGGAAAACCCTTAAAACATTTGTCAGATGCAGCCCATAATGAAGCTGTGAATTTTACTAAAACAAATGTAGTATTTCAGATCATATTAATACCTCAAACTTCACAGATCCAAGGTCAAGCTTCTGCTTCACTTCTTTAAGAACATCAGGCTCTGTAGAAAATCAATGTCAACAAAAGTAAATGTGAATCAAACCTAGTACTCGGAAGTCTGAAATCATTGGTTGGACCAGAATTCCAAGATTAGAATCAAGTTAATTAGTAGAAACATCAACCTCGCAATTGCAAATATCATTTTAGCATTTTTTTTCCCTGTAGATTTGTGCCTTAAATCTGCAGGCGTACTAGACTGGCGTCAAAGCAGAAGAACATTGGATCAAGAGAACAAATCTTTCAAAGATTTTCTTTTTTCATTGATTGTATAAACTAGAAAGATGTCATTGGGAATTATTTTTTATTCGTTTGCTACTTTTAGTTCTCTTTTTCAGACTCAGGTTATCTCTGAGATTTTGTTTTTGTATTGTTTTGTGTTATGAGAACTCCTTATTCTCTTCATATGTACCCCGGTTTTCATAGTCAATTAATGAGGTTTTTGTTCTCATCAAAAAAACGTTTTACTTCTCGTTGCCTTCTTTCTGTTCTTTTACTATTTTGTTTTTTCGCGGTTTTCAAGGATACCTCATCCTCTTTCCTTTGTAAAGTTTTTTATTTATTTATTAAATAAAATAATAATAATAATAACAACAACAATAACAATAATAATATTAAACAACAACGATCTCAAAGTCCCCCACAATTTAAATGCAAATAGAAGATTTTAAATTACCAACTGCAATGGGATCTGTTGATGCAGAGACAGGTTGTCCCTCCACTCCATCCTCTCTAACAGGAGTATATATGGCTACCAGCCTGTACCCCACATCGTCAACAGTTGATTCATACATTCTCCCTAACTCTCCTGCAATAGAAAATTTCTACTTTAATATTGGAAAATGGAAAATCTAGATGATATTTTACAAGAAACAAATGTTATACAGGGTGAAATGCATAATCCTCGAAAGATATAAGGAGAGGAAAGACGAGATCTAGAACAAACAGGCAGTGGAATGAATGATTTATTGTTACAGATCTCATTGAAGACCTGATGGTTATTCTGACTTGTAAAGAATTTTGATTTTCTCAAATTTAATAACCTAAGTTTTTCAACTTCTAGAAGCAGATTTTGTCAACCAGCCGCCTCAAAATGAAAGTATAAATGGATTTGTTTTGTTATAGGCACTTGATCAGGATAGCAAGATATCTTGAACCTTCAAATAAACTCCTAGACTCGTCAAGAAAAAAGATTTGGCAAGAGGAGTTGCATTCAGGAATCTTCTAACCAGTAACCTCAAATTATTGTTCATGATATCAACAAAACCTAATTATCAGCAAGTGGCTATCTGCCCGTATTATATTCTTCATTTTTCGTCATATATGCATTGATTAATACAGAGCTATCAAAAGAAATTTATAGGAGATAATACTTACCATTGAATGACTGAGAGATGAGTGTTGTAAAAGAATTACGCTTTTTCTTTATTTTATTTTTGTTTCATTACTGTTTTAATAGTGAGGATATCTTATCCTCCTCTCTTTGTATTAGTCTTTTATTGATTTTTATCACTAAAATTGTTTTTTCTTATATAAAAAAAAAAAAAAAGAATTAGGCAAGGTTTTAACTTTACCTGGTATAGAGATAAGATCGGGACTTCCAACCATTGACCTAAGCCACTGAATTCTACTTTTTCCTTCTTTTCCTCCACTATAAACACCACGGATAGCATAAAGATTGGTATGGAAACCCCTACCCTCAATCTCCAGCTTGTCTATTCTAGGAATCCCTGATTAAAGATAACAATATAGATAAATACAAAAACTAAAGTTGGACGGGTGATCCCAAGTAAACATAGTAATTTTGTCAAACCAACCATTCAGGCAAAATAATTAAACAGCATAACTTAGTTAATCTACAATAAGAACTAACTCAACATCCAATAAATAATAATAAGAATAATAAAAATAACAACAACAATTTTAGAAATGCCACGACTATTTCCTGTATCCAAGCAGCGATGTCCCACCGATGAACGAAACGCAATTTCAAGTTTTTGTTTTTCTCAGACAGCACAAAAAAATTAGCTTGTTCAACTTATTGCAACCGGATACCCAAAAAAAAAAAATAATAATTACTGCACTAAAATAAAACCTGGCTGTATAAGTTCTGTTTCAGCAAACGCAGGTTCACTTGATCTTCCAAATACATCAGTCACAATGCATTCACATCTTAAACATCGTCCAATGTCTTCTAACCGCAGCTTGTAGGAGCACGAACGTTGTGCAGGTAATGGTTCAAAGGTTTTCTCATCTCCCACTTCTGATGAATAAAACCTGCAGTTCCCCCCGCGTCATCAGAAAAAATGCAACAATTGATACAAGGCAATACACTCGTAGTGAGTACTCAGTTATATACTAATATTTGCATCAGTTTAAAGCATTTTCCAAAATTAATAGGCAAAATCAATTTTGATTCTCAGATTAGTATATATACATATATATGGACATGCCACTTCCATTCCAATTAACCCATTTGTTTAAAGGCCACTACCCAGCCACGGTGATTTGGATACAGACCAACGTCACTACCGAATAAAGTGGCTGCAAAAATGAACCCGCATGCTTGCACTTGACCATGTAAGTAGACCGATGAAAAGAAAAAAATGTGCTTCCCCACACCAAAAGAAAATAAATTAATCATGCGCAAAGTGTGGCATAAACGCTTGACAAGGGAAATTTGGAACTAAACGGTTTATGACCCCTCTGATTGGTTCATTTCACTTCAATGATAACAACACAAAATCTATAATGCCTTGCAAAAATAGAACCAAAAACAGATTCTTACAATCTTGAGCATATAACACAGCATGGTACATACCATTGGTATCTAACATCTTTCTTATACTTGTTCCATAAAGACTGTTCGGTCTCGCTCTTTGGGATTACTTCAACAGCAGTTAGCACATCGCCTTCAATTGGCTTTCCAGTGAGAGCAAGCACCTCCACTTGTGGAAGCTCTGGTGGTAATGTCACATCGAAATTCAGATTAAAGTTCTTTCTTTTTTATTGGAAATCATTAAAATCCTATTTGAGCTTAAACACTCGCATCAAAAATATCAAAAAGAAAAAAAAAAGAAAAAGTACAAGTGACTTGAAATTTGTCCTTTTTCTAGATTTATGTCCAATCCAAATGGACGACGCCCCCGTTTGTTTCATAGGTTCAAATTACTATTCAAACCTTTTTACTACAATGTTTTCTCTTACAAAATTTAAATTTATGTTTAACTTTTTCTGTTCAAATCTACGAACCAAACGGGGGGGGGGGGGCGACCCCACTTGACATATGACCAAGATTTTTAGAAATAAAAAGCATATCAAGTAGACAAAGCTTCAGTATGACCAAACGGACTCCTTAGTCCTTACCTGGAAGAATGATATCAGTCGGCTCAGACAACCTGAGTTCTCCGACACGAGAATCTGAACGAACGGGTGTGTAGCTGTGAAATATTTTTAAGGAAGTTTATTAGAATATATACTTAAATCAGGTTAAAAGAAGATAGCAACAACCCATCATACACATTTACAAAATGATTTATAAATTGAGCAATAAGTGCTAAGCATAACACATCTTGCCTCAAGGAAAAAAATTCTTCAATGCACTTGAGGCTAGCACAATTGGTTGGATGCGTGGGTATGTAAGTGTATGATCCAACATTCAAGGTTCGAATACTGACGGTTTCATTTCTTCTTAAACAGTGGGAGCCATAGGCCCCACATATAAGGAAAAAAAAAGGCGGACCCCAGTGCCAAAGAGGCTCCCGTACTATGAAAAAAAAAATGGGGAAAGAGAAAAATCACACATGAAAAATATTTCCAACTTAGGCATTTCGCATGTCACATTATGCAAGCCATGAAAAATATTTCCAAGTTAGGCATTTCTCATGTCACATTATGCAAGCCCATTTTTGCATCATTTGTTAAAACTTTGACTTGTTTCAATTCCTATTTCTAGCATAGAGTTAGTGTTTACCTGTTTGATTTAATAGTTATAGAGTATTCTTATGTGCAATTTATTTTTTCATTTTTATTTGATTTTATTTTTTTGATAGAAAACTAAGAAATTTTCATTAACAAATGAAAACATCACAGAAGATCTGTGAAGTTTTCATTTGTTTATTTTCAATAAATAGATTAAGGCCCATTTTACATGGATTAACATATATACATATAATATAGATCGTGCATATCAGAGTAATGACGTAACTTCTTTTAAACGACCTTCTTAATGATTTAAAAGTATTTGCCTTAGGACTTAGGAGGCTTTCCTTGGTTTTGAATTAGCATTATTCTGGTAATTGTTATTTGATACTAGTTTTGAATGAAACCTGTAGCCCTACAAATAGAAGTATTAAGTGGATGCTGAAGCAACAATTTTGTTTGAAAAGCTTTATATACTTCTAAAGCATTATCAATTGTGTGCACTTCAAGGGGGGAAAAAAGGAAGAAGAATGTGAACTAGTTGCCAAAACTAAAAAAGAAAGAAAGAAAGAAAAGTACCCAAACAATAGACGACAGTTGTAGTCGTCATCAGTAACTTCATAAGTTCTAGAAGTGGCTCCATTAATAAGACTGATAGTTCCATCATTAGTTTCTCTGTACCAGCTAAACAGGCTCAGTCCCTCGTATCCACCAAAATATTCTCCTTCTCCAGAATAAATACCAGAAGACAACTCTAGAGCATGTACATTAGAAACTACAGGGAGAGCTGCCACATTATTACAGTATAATTTCAGTTGCTAAACAATGTTCAAAGACTAAAGTGTTGAACAAGATTAAAAAAAAAAACAGGAAATGCCTTGGAATGACTTTGGGCAAATAAACTGAAAAACAGGAAATGCCTTGGAATGACTTTGGGCAAATAAACTGATATACAGAGAAAATGAACGCATAATGATGGTATATAAATGCCAACAAAAAAATTATAGAAAAGAGTCTGTCCAATCAATGACTACAACCTTCTCAATTGCTTAAAAGGAAAAAATCATAAATGCATGCAAGAAAGTAACTATTGATCACAATCGTTATAAGGCAGTTCTAGTTAGGGCCGGCAATATGGGTCGCGACACGGCAACAGACTCAAAAACGACATGAATTTCGTGGGTTAGGGTTGAGAAAAAAGAGGTTCGGGTCAGAATTGGGTCGACCTGAAATTGACACGAAAAACACGGGTTAATTTCGGATTGGACCCGCCTAACCCGAACACGACACGAAACTCGTAAAAAACTAAAAAAATACATATATTTTTTATTACATATTTTTGATTTTATTATGAACTTGTGATATCATGATAGTTATACTCAAAATCTTATACAATTATTTGCTTAATTTCAATGAATGTTATTGTATTTTAGTGTGTCATAAATTTTAAGTTATTTCTAATATGTAAAAAACTAAATAAAAGTATACAATTTTCGTGTCAATTTCAGGTTCACGGGTCAATTTCGTGTCATGGGTCATTTTCGTGTCATGTCGTGTCAACCCGTAAAGTGGTCGTATCGTGTTCATGTTGCGGTTCTTAAAAAATTTCGTGTCACGGGTCGTGTTTGGGTTGCCTGTAAATTTGGAAAAAAACGATCAAAACACGACACGAACACGACACGTGGTACGAATTGCCACCCCTAGTTCCAGTGGTATGTCCTTACAGTACCAACTACCAATGGAATTAATGTTCTTAGTAAAACACAAGATTTCTACTTCATTATACCTGCCACAATTGGAGAGTTGCAAATTGCAACTAATGGCTTTCCACATGAGCCATCAGAACGAATGGGCAACCAATATAAAGCCAAATAAGCCCCGACATCTTCAAGTGATGGTGTATATGTTCTGCCACATTTGCATATTAGTTAAGCATTCATTTTAAACTAGTCAAAAATGCACTCTTCATGACTAATTTGAAACAATGGTTCAAAGAAAAAAGGAGGAAGAAAAAAGAAAGGAAGAAATAAAGACAAAAGTGGAAAAAAAGATCTTAAGCAAAAAATAGGGAGAAAAAAGACAAAAAGTAAAAACTTAAGAAAAAACTTTTATGCGAAATGTTTCAGAATCGCATGCAAAATATGTTTATTAGGGACACATTTGAGAATAAATTAATTTAGCAGGGTAAATAGAAAAAAAAAATATTTGAAATAACTGTAAGAAAAGTACTTAAATGAGATATATTTGAAAATATATAATAAAATAAAAGGTTAAAAGATGCAATAAAAAAAGGTAAGCGAGGAAAAAGAAGAAAAGAAAAAGAAAAAGCTAAAAAAGTTAAAAAAGTTATTTTGCATGCGATTCTGAAACATTTCGCATAAAAGTTTTTTCTTAAGTTTTTACTTTTTGTCTTTTTTCTCCCTATTTTTTGCTTCAGATCTTTTTTTCCACTTTTGTCTTTATTTCTTCCTTTCTTTTTTCTTCCTCCTTTTTTCTTTGAACCATTGTTTCAAATTATATATATATATATATATAAGACCTATTCTCCCATAGGAGATAGGAATAGATATAGAATAAAACAGAAATATCCAGAATATGTAACAATATAAGAGAACTTACAGTGTTTTACTGCATACAAGAACGTCTTCAGATGCATCAGATATTTCCTTTAGTGCAGTTCCTCCCAGCTTGCTCTTTGCTCTATACCAAATGTATTCTCCAACACCTTCTTGTCCTCCAAAATATGTCTTTTTTGGGACAACCTCCTCCTTCTCACAGCAATCAGGGATTACAAGCTCCATTCCGAGAGGATCCGCTGTAGCAAGGGGAAGGGAGGAAAAAAATGAAATTGGCCTTGATTAAATTCTTTTGACAAGAAACAGAAAAATATTATTAACATTGGGAAAAAAAAAAAAAAAAAAAAAAAAAAAAAAAAAAAAAAAAAAACGAATTAGACCTCTAAATGAGCTCAAAGTGGTTGAAGCACTAATATTTGAAGAAAATGCAGAACAAGTGAGATTGTGAGCACGCCAATTATATCGTTGTTTTTGGTAAATTAGGAATGATTGGCTGTCCTATTGCTGTATGTGGCCGAATATAGAGTAATTATGTAGGAGGATTGTTAACTAATTCAGAATAATTTCCCTTAAGTCATGGGATTAGTGTTTGGGCAGTTTCCTTCTTTTTTGATTTGTTTCCTTATCTGTCTTATTTCCCTTTATTTGTTATCTTCTAGCTCATCTATATAAGGAGGCCGGTATGTATGAAGTTATTATGAATGAGAAATAAGATGTTTCTTTTCTCTTCTCTAAAAGCCTACAGTTGTGAAAGAACGCATGCTAACATCAACTTTATTCCTCTTTCCTTCCCATTTTAGTTTCTTAATACCCTAACAAAAGTAGAAATTAAAGGATGATTACAGGAAACAAAGACCCGAACGGACAATTCTTTTTCTCCACCATACATTGTTTTCCACACGTTGAGGACTCCAATACAGAAAGTTTGCAACATCTTTGTATATGCCTGTATATGCTGTAATTTTCGGACAGATTAATCTATAAAAAGTCTAGAGAAAGTTTCCATACATCTTTGTATATGCTGAATTCTTTGGAACATATAACCACATGAGCACCTCTGCAGAGGCCCAAGTTCTTTAGGTGAAAATGCTACTTACCAGGAGCAATCACATCCGATAGAACGCTTCTAGGACTCCCTTTCATTCCATCCTCGCGTATGGGAGTGTAAATGAGTTCAATACACGACCCCACATCATCCAGAGTCAAATCCAGGAACTCTGGTAAGAGAAAATCAAAACCCTTTTAGATTTCTGAGTTCAAATAGATCTGCAATCTGCATATGTCTCCAATACTCAACAGAACTCACCATGAGTACTAAGTTTCTCTCTGACACCATTGCTCCTCACTCTAAACCATTCGTGGAAACAAGATCCTCTCTCCCTAACCAAAAATTGTACTTAAGGTAATGAAGAAGCTAGAGACTAACACTAATTCAAAACAAAAGAGAGGACAAAAAAGAAAAAAGTGTACCAATCCTAAACTCTCACCCTCCACAATAAGATGCAATAAAGCTCAGTTGTTGACCTTCTATCATTGACCCAACAAAGTCCAAGGAGTGACAAGTAGGGGGACCTGAAATGCAATTTCAAATATCAAAATAATTGTCATGCCTAGTTTAAACTCTCTCTTCACGGAAAATAAACAACGGTATCAATTCATGTCCCAACTACAGTAACTGTAACCAAACAAGAAAACACATTATAGTAGCATGAGCAAAAACAAAGAACATTGTTTCCAGGAAAAGAAAAAAAATTAAACTCTGTACCAGGTACAATTGGTCCGATTTGTTCCGAGAGAACAGTAGGCCCACGAGCCCAGTCATTTCTAACTGGTTCACAAGACACTGAGATGAAAAAGCCAATGTCACCAAGTGAGAGCATATATGAACAAGTGGAAGCACCGCTGATCTCACTTTGTGTGCCATCTGAACTCGTCTGCAAATGAAATATTCTTAAATAATCAGCTCTATAGCAAACAGTATTGCACACTGAAAAGACAAGTTATTGATGGACCACGCTACAGATCTCAAGTTTCTAACACTTGAAAAACTCAACACTTGTCCCGTGCTTCAAGTTTACTATGCAAGACAACATGCAAAATTACTAAAACCAATTGCAATTCTGCAAAATAAGGACATAAAACCATAAATTTTAAATAAAATACCCGGAACCAGCGAAAAATAGATTCTCCTTCTTCACCACCCCAATATTTTTTGTCAATACTTAGCGTAGTTCCTTCGATGGAATTTCCAACTATTTGTAGAGAAAGCAATCTCGGACTTCCTAATTATCAAGTAGAAATTGGGATGAGTTAGATTTCAAGTACAAGAGTTTGAAATTATCAACTAAAGCAAGCTATATCATAGTTTGTACATTTCCACGAAGCAGTTATAAAGAGTGACATTTATATTCATTGGAAATCAAGATAACAAAAAAGCATATTTTAGCTCATCAAGCAATGAAGATGGATACAACATGGTAAAGTAAAGTACAGGCTAAAATGGTCATAAAGAAAGAGAATATGCTGTATTTACATTTAAAGTTTATCAAAACAGACTATATGCATACACACGCACATAGCATAAACTCAGGACATCCAAAAATTTTAAATATCTTCGTTTTAGTGGCGACTACTTTCTTTCTAATAGCTGCCTTGTCTCGGGAGCTACAAGGAGAGGAGCCACGTAGCTAGCTCCAAAGCCATTGCATTCATAGACAGGACATGACTTAGTGGAAAAATAAATAAGCAATTGAATCTTTGAACAATGTTGCTACTTATTCATAGATACTTCACATCTGCCAGTATGAGCTGTGACATATATTAGTGAAATAAACAAATAATTAAATATGATGTGAGATTGACACAATCTTGCTACTTATTCATAGATAATTCACATCTGCCAGTATGAGCTATGACATATATTAGTGAAATAAACAAATAATTAAGTATGATGTGAAATTGACACAATGCGAATAAAATATATGTCCAAAGTATTTACTCTCAACTGTGTACCATTAGACCAATAGGAATATATTCGAATTAGATAAGAAGTTTCACATGCAGAGTCTATCGTTTTAGAAGTATACAATCACTAACACATCACTCTTTTATAAAGAAACTAGGATCTACAGTGCAATTCAACCTCAAACGCACACCAATGTAATAGGTGTAAATACAATTTTCAGAAAACGAACAAACTATACCAGGGCGAACACGTTCCTGACCAAAGCAAGTTATTGGGTCACCAACAATCCCATCATCGCGCACTGGGGTGCATTGGAAAGAAACAAATTTACCGATAGCATCTTTGGTAATACGATACTGAAGAACTCCTGAGACCTCGGGTATTAGACTAGCCGAGTCATTTTCAATCTGCATATCACCATAACGAGTTCGTAAAATAGTACAGGTTACCTTATTCATATGCAAGTCTTAACATCACAACTATAGATACAAACAATATGGAAGCAAGAGACAAGGAATTCTTTTAGATCGACCAAGATCAGCATCAAAATAAACATCAAATAAAATTAAAACAATTTTGAATCAACATCTAAATTATCAAATATAATTAATAACAATGTATATAAATAAATCAAAAGTGATATATAAAACCTAAAACAACTAATATTACATTGATCAATAACCAATTGATATACCTAACATATATGAAAGATTGCAAATAACTAGGATAATCATGTTCAATCTTAGGTTACCAAATCAAACTATGGCATAATCCAAGTGGTCAGTGTTCCTTTGAAATAGAATGATTAGTTTACATATGAGATATAATTTAAACATGAACTTATTATCATACAAATATTTAATTTGTGCATTTAACTCTTTTTTAGTTCTAATAAATTTTGTTTCCTAGAAAGAAGAAAGGGGAAGAGGGTGGGAAGATGAAAATACCTCATGAAGATACCAATTATAGATACTTTTTCCTTCGTGACCTCCCACGTAGCCATAGGATGCTGTCAAGATTCCGCCTTCAGTGTAATCCCCAGTAATGGAAAAGAAATTTAAGCTTGGAGGAAGGGCTGCAAGAGTTCCAAACCTCAGTGACACATGCCAAATCAGTATTAGAATTCCAAGAATATAAGTGTCAAAGAATCCAAGCCAGTGACGAAGATATAGCACTCAACTTTTCCATATTTACAATTATATATGGCTATACAAAATATATATATAGGCCCCCAAAAAATTAAGAAATTTATTTTATTCTCCCAACATTGAAAAATATTACTTTAAATAAAAGTTAAATGCTATCTCTAACTTAACAATATCTTTTATTCCTTAATAATAGTTTTGATTATATATTGAAGTAAATCCTAACGTTTTTCCCCTTATTTTCTTGTTTTTGTATTTTGTTTCTCACTACTGTACATATCCCTTAAAAAAAAAATCAAATTAACATATTGAGCAAACTGTATAATTTTACGCAATAATGTTCTTAGATAGAAAAAATAGAACATCCTAACAAATATAATCAATTAGAATCGAATAATTAACTTAATAAAATAATCAATTTAACCATAAGTTCTTATGAAATTTCAATCGTGTCCTCACTGTATAAGAAAACTTAAAAAGTTAATTTGAGTGAATAAGAAATATTTTTCTTCTCCTATTTTCCACATGGTATCAAAGCCTTAGGGCTTGAATTTCTGGGATTAATACTCGGCCTTCATCGCCGGAATTGGTCTCTTGTTTGGCCTTTATTGCCAAAATCGTCTCCTTGTTCGGCCTTCATCGCCAAAATTGTTTCCTTGTTCGGCCTTCATCGCCGGAGTCATTAGATCGCTGTCTCAAGGGAAGGCTGCTGTCAAGTATCACGGTTACCGCCAGAAATTGTTCCAATCAAATCGACCTCATCGCTGGTGGAGTCTGCAGTGTAGGACCGGCCTTAATTGCCCTCAAAACTGCTTTGGAAGATGTCGGAGGTGGCAGGAACAACCGCTGCAACGTCACTGGATGAGACAGAGAATGGACGATCTCAGCAGGTTGGAGAACTGTAGAATATACAGGATGCCTATAGACTGAATGGGAAAAACTACCTTAAGTGGTCACAATTGGTTCGGACAGTGCTGAAAGGAAAAGGAAAAATCAGCCATCTTTTAGGGACTGGACCAAAACCGGAGGATCCCAAGTTTGAGGCATGGGATGAGAAGGATTCCATGATTATGGCATGGCTGTGGAATTCTATGACCCTACAAATCAGTGATACATGTATGTTTTTGGCAACCGCCAAAGATATATGGGATGCAATTCAACAAACATACTCCAAGGCAAGAGATGCGACTCAAGTTTATGAGGTTAAAGTGAAGACAATGGCTGCGAGACAAGGAGAAAGAACAGTGTGATGCCCAGATTTCTCACATACTAGTTGGCCAATGCATTGCTTGATTTTACATTTATATGCATGAGTTATGTTTTATCTGTCATCAAGGTGCATGATCAGGTTGATAATGTGCATTTAGTGTTAAATGTGTATATTGTACAAAAAAGAAGTTTAAGGAAGGAAAAGAAGGCCAATGCATTTAGTGTTAAATGTGATAATGTGCATTAAGTTACAGGTTTCCTTGAAGGTGAATCCGGTAAGTGGGAATGAAGGAAAATTAGTTTAAGGATGATTTCATATGGAACTTGATAGGTAACAGAGCTCAAATATTTTAAAAGTACAAAAAAATGAGTAAAAACGGTCGACTTTAGATGTAACGGGAAGGTTTAGTATGCATTTTGTTGGGTGAATAGACCATAATATAGTAAGGGACATTTTATAATGAGTATATAAGTGGATAAGATTTATTACGAAGGGTTGACGTGAGTTCCACATGAATTATAGGGTGAGACTACTTTAGAAACCCTAGTTTGACACAATTTTCAGCGTTTGGGCTTTCGAGCCTAGATTAGGGTTTTTGGCGGTTATTGTTGCTTTAGAAGTTCATTAGGGCATGTTTTATAATGTATGCAAGGTTTTAGAAATATTGGTGTAAAGTTTTGATTATGAATGGTTTAAGATTTGTAGATGACATCTATAACATACAAGAAAACGGTATTAACACATACGCTTGATTTGGTAAGAAAAATGATAGGTTATGACTTAAGGTGTACTTGGGCTTTTGTATAAGTGTTTTACACTTTAAAGAAAGAAGTTAGCTGCTGGAAATTTGACACAAGGGCAGCTTAGGTGAGAGTACTTCATGGTGAAGTACTTAAGGTGGTTGCTAGGTTGTTTAAAAAGTTTATTAAGCAAGTAGCTTAAGCTATCAGCCCTAAAAACTCTAAGTCCAACTCTCTAACCTCTAAAAACTCCATTTCCATTAAGGCTCAACTGAGGATAAGAGAAATCTTTGGTGGTTTAGTAAGTTTTGGGTGCTTAATTGGAAGAAAACTCAAACTGGGCTAAGGTAAGCCACTGTTTCGGTGTTAGCTCTGTGTTCAAGTCTGTTCAGGAAGTTTCCCTTTGAATTTTGCGATGAAAATTGAACCGACTGATCTCTTATGCGTCAGGAGGATCTCCATAAAAGGGTATAATCAAATTCAATAGGAAAGCGGTGGTTTGAGGTTCGTTTGTGGAAGCTGTCCAGAAACATGACTGTTTCAAAACCGGTTCAGGTTTGTACATGGTTACCAAGGCTAGGAAGCTTGTTTTGATCTGACTTTCTTAAGGTAGGCTCATTTATGTGTTAACTAAATGCCAGTAACACAGTTTTTGCAAATTCAATTTGATTTGGGAGTTATAACCTAAAACATGAGGCTGGTGCAGTTTGTGATATTGGATGAATTTGTGGTTTCAAGATGTTTTGTGAATTTTGGTGAATTTAAATTTTTTTAAGTTGCAAAACATGTGTTTTTATGCTTTAGGGAGTGTTGAAATGAAGAGGAAACTCTGCTAAAATTTTTAGAAAAAAATTTGACTTAATTTGGATAAAAAATGAGGGAGTTAGGCCATGTTTTGGTGCTACCTGTGCACCAAGCCACACGCATGGGCCCAGTGAGCGCGCGCTGCTGCCGAACCAGGTACGCCCTTGGGGCTGCTTGGCCAGGCCATGACCTGACTAGGCCAAATGGCCTAGTCAAGGGTTTTCAGGGCCCCGGAGTCCGTTTTTGGTGCTGTTTCTTGCGTCTGAATCCTGTAAAACCTATTTTTTTATGATTGTCACTTAAAATAATTATTTAAAATATTATTTTAGTTATTTAAATATTTAAAAAAAATTAGTAAAAATTAGGAAAATGAGCTCCTTAATACATAATTGTTAGTGATTGTTGGTCAGGTGATAATGTTAGTTAAAATATTCAATGTTTCAGACGAGTGGAACACCGGATTCCCTGAGAGATACCAGGGAGCCTCAATATCAGTTCTAAGGCTTGAGGTAAGTAGAATATCACCTGTATCACCATAAAAGTCGTGCACATACTATGTGATTCAAAGTTGTGATATGTGAGTATACGAGACATGTGTTATTGATGGTAGACAGACGGTTGACTTCCGGTTATTGCACTTTTATTGGTGGAAACCTTGTGACGTGGAGGAGCATGAAACATAATGTTGTACCTCGTTCTAGTGCAGAGGCCGAATTCCGAGCGATGGCTCAGGGCGTGTGTGAATTGCTATGGTCGAAGATTATTTTAGAAGATTGGAAGATTAAGTGGGATGGCCCAATGAGACTCTACTGTGACAACAAATCTGCAAGTAGCATAGCTCACAACCCAGTAGAGCACGATAAAACAAAGCACATTGAAATTGACAAACACTTCATCAAAGAGAAGCTAGACAGTGGCCTGATTTGTACACCCTATGTATCTAGACAGGGTCCACTTGCTGATGTACTCACAAAAGGACTTAGAAGTTCAGTGTTTGAGAATCTTGTGTCCAAGCTGAGAATGGTGAACACCTATTCACCAGCTTGAGGGGGAGTGTGGAAAACGCAATCTACTGATTTTGTAAATAGGATATATTAGGAAAGTTTGAATTTTATATTTTATATCCCTAGGATTAAGGTAATCAATTAATTTCCTGATATCCCATGAATAATGGGATAAGGTGTAATCTATGAGATTCTATTTTGTGTATAAAACCCTAAGAGGACTGGCTGTATAATTTAATTTGAGTAAATAAGAAATATTTTTCTTCTCCTATTTTCCATAGTATCCTCATTGGATAATCAAAATGTATACATTCTCTTATTTGATAAAGAAACTATCTCTAATTTTTTTCATAGTAGCCCCACTAAAAAAATTTCTTACTCCGTCATTGATTAATTAGCCCCCTGACCAGAGTTTCTAGCTTCGTCACTGATCCTAGCGACGGGTTTTTCTACTCTTTTTTTCTTGGCTCGAAGTAGAGCAACTTCTTTGTTTTTAAGAAATAGATTTTTATTCAGTTAACTTACAACTCATCAATGTGTTAAATAAAGATATTCACATACTTTCTACTGCTCTCTCCGATATAACATATGCCGGTTCACCAGATTCACCATCTGAGGTCATGGGTGTAAATTTGGCAACAATGTAATACCCTACGGCACCTAAAGGTATGCGGAACGCCTGCAAAAAGGTTGAGAAGTAGTTGAGTAGTTGCACCAGATTTAAAAACCTTACAAACAAAATGCCTGAAATTTTCTTAATCATCGGGTGTATATGCTCATTTACAATATATACCATCTACCTTGGCAATCTTGGATGTGCTCAAAGCATCAAGGCCTTTCTCACCATCCAAAGTTGAAGAACTTGTTTTGAACCATTGTACTCTGCTAGACCCTTCAGTTCCTCCAGTAACAATTCCAGTTACAGTAACCTTACTGTTCTCCCTTATTTCACCAATTATCTTAACATTTGTTGCCTTTGGAGGTGCTGGAGTTTAGCAGAAAAGAAAAGGAGAGGACGTGAGGACATAAGGCATGATAAAATTAAATCTTGAACCATTATAAGTGAACAAAAACTATTGCAATTTAGCAAAACTATCTTCTAAAGAATCAACAAAGAATGAATTCTTTTAAGATTCATAATCTGAAAGGGAAAAAAAATGATAGCTAACAGTATGAAACAAATTTAAGCTTGGAAAACATAGCTAAGATCAATCAGGTACCTTGCTTCACCACATGAGACACTACTGTAATAGATTCCCCTTCTTGCCCTGAAGAATGCACCAATCAGAAATATTACATAACTATCTATGTACAAGCTACAATATAAACACATTCCAACACTAAAAGTCAAGAGGAGCAAACCTTCAAAGTTAATAGGTACATATATGAATGCCAAACGTCGTCCAACATCTTCCTTGGACAAGGTATACTCAACTGTACCCGTTGATACTAACATAAAGTCTCTGCAAACAAAAGTCATCCGCGAGAAAGAAATAAATAGAAGATAAATAAAAGAGAAAAGTTAAGCTCACTAGAAACAAATAACAGAAGACCAATTTAAAAAATTAAAAATAAAAAAGGAAAAAAAAAACAACTATTTTATTTTATCAAAAAATGGAGCAAATGTGAATAACCATGTTTTTGAACAAGAATCATTAATCATGCCCAAAAATCACTATGCAAATGCATACATGAAACAACAGAGAGGACATAAAAGGATCTAGCTGATAAAGTTGGGTGCAAATTCACCATTCTGGAATAGAAGAAAGATAAATAGAGAATGAACTTGTTCCCATCCTCTGCATCAACATGACAGAGGATAGGCATACTGACCCAGTGTCTAGATTCTCACGCAACCATTCAAAATTGCTGGGACCCTCCCTTCCTCCAAAGTAATCACCAACTCCCTTGATGGTAAGTTCTTCAACAGTGTCTCCAACAATTTGGACATTCAAAACGCAAGGAGGAGCTGAAATGAAAGATATGTAGTTAGCCCAAATTGACAGAATATTTAAGGCTAACTGGATCAGGAATAGAATGGAGGGACAAATAAATTTAGTCGCACAAAAAAAAAAAAGAGAGTAATTGTTTCAGCAAGATATGAATAATTAATACATAAATAAAGATTCAGAAGGAAAAATCATTAGCATTCATCTAGAACGTACTCAGAGGGAATAGCTGAATGGGCATGCATATGTGTATAAAAAATTCAGCCATAATTGCAACTCCAACAGAATCCAAACTAATGAATAGAAAACAAACCAAAGAAATCTCACAGAAATGAAATATATGTGCATATATTCATGATATTTTCTTCATTATAAATTCCTTGGAGAGAGACTACACAATTTTTTAACGCAGACATAATAAGTTGCAATATACATTTATTTTAGCTCATAAACGTTTAAATTTTCCACATTTAATAACGATTGATCCAAAGAAACCAAATCTAGGAAGAATACCAATTTTAGCAATCTTTCCTATACAGTTCAAGTGAACAAGTCATTTTAAGTTAAATTTAAGCTCTCGTACATCATGAACTGTAAATGTATCAGCTAGTAAGTCATGTGCGTGGAGTAAAATATAATTCGAAGAATGCTGGTATTCTAATGTGTAATACAAAAATGTGAGCAAAGTAATCCCAGGATTTATGCTAACATATCAACAAAGGTGAAATGTGTTAACATCATCACAGATAAATTGACAAAGCCAAAACAATGAGGTATTGACAAATTTTAATAAAAAAAAAATGATGAAGAAGATAATTTAGAAAAGCATCCCTATGTACCTGCTTTTACAAAATCGGTGTATTTATATTGAGGTTCGCCTTTGGCACCTTCTTCTGTCACTGGTGTGTACATAAAAACCAAACTGGAATCAATGTCATCTATGGTCAACAAATACTCCTCATCTTCAGCTCCAGTAATTACAACGGGGCTGCTGTTCCATTTTCTCCTCAACCAACTAAACACAAAGCACAGTGAGAATGTTATTTTCATGTAGGAGTAAAATGAAAAACATAACCGGATATATTATAATAACACAGGCATACAAACGCAAGGCACATAAATATATGAAAAATGCATATGCAATTTTTAGCACTGATTATCACTTTCTGCGCGAATTTAAATTAGCCATCTGAAGATACTTCCAGAATATGTAACCGTACACGTAAGATGCAAACTCACCTGGCAACACCTTTCCCTGGAGTCCCTCCACACCATGCAACCACAGCATGGCCCTTTATAATGTTTCCTTCCACTAGCTCCCCGTGAACATCAAGGGTCACAACCTTCGGAATTCCACTTCCTTTTCGAGAAGAAAAAGTTGCATCAAATGATGGCACAGTTCAGGTTCCGTTCCCCACATGGGAACTATCTTAAGAAGCAAGATTGCAAGAAATATGTATTTGGGATATAACACAATATCACTTTGCAGAAAATGAAACTGATAAAATATTATAAGAAAGAAACTCGAATACAAAAATTGAAAATTAAAAAATTAAAAAAAAAAAAAACATAAAATAACTTTTTTTTTTTTTGGTGCTAAACGTCAAAACAGCTATTCCTCATCAAAGAAGCCGTCAGAAATTACCTCGTGAAATTGGCGAAGATATGGCAAATATAGGAGGGTACTCCACTTCTCCCAGTATGGGAGTACACTCCACTTTCAATATTCTACCAATGTCTTCATGCTTGGGCCAGTAAACCTAACCCATTTCATCAACAGAGTAAGATTCTATGAAGCATCAATTGTCAGATATCCAAAACAGCAAAAACCTTTATATGAAAAGCAATGAAACTTCACTTGTCATAGAACAATTTAAATGCAGTGCCAACACAGAACAACTATTTACCTCCCCTGTGGCATCAGGAATAAGAGTGAACTTTGAAGTCGTTCTGTCCCCAACAAACCATTGATATCTTAAAACTAATTGCGAATCAATGCTCAAAGTGCTCTCTTGCACAAAAGTAAAGTGACAGCGACAAGCATCTTCTTCAGAAGGTTGATCCACGTACGCTTCCTTGACCAGGTAATCTGAAGGCAAATGATCTTTCCATCGCTCGACAAGAAAACGAAATGTTGAATCTGTCCAAACACCACAGTTTAGAAATATGGAGTTTCTAGAGACAAATATTTACCAATGTCAAGTGAAATTCTCTCATATACAAAAGTTTAAGTAGTATTCAAGTGAGTGGCAGACACTTATCAGCAATGTCTACGAGGAACTCACACCAATTTTTTTTCACATGATGGGCTTTAGTTCTTTTGGAAAGTACAAGTATAAAAGTAGAGATGAAACAAAAAAGAAATAACTTAAGGTTCTACCCTTGCTGGTAAATCAACATCTTGCAAACTATTTCGTCAATTCATGATTCCAAATTTACTCAATCTTAAATATATATATATATATATATTTGATACATTGCTAGCTTCTTCCAAATTCGAACCAGGGATATCTCCTTTCAACCCATCCCACAGTTAATCTCAAACTAAAATAAAATATAGAAGTATAAAAAATTTTATATATATATATATATATATTTTGTAGACGAAACAATAAACTCAAAACAAAAAAGTACACTACATTCGGTATCTTTTCCTCTGTTCATTGTATTGTCTAAAAAATCAATCACCATGGACTGGGGTATTAGGAACTTAAGCTCTTTTTTTATCACCGATGATGTTGCACTAATAATAATGTAGGATTTTTAGAAGAAAGAAAACTACTTTTTCTTATTCATATCATAAGGAATTTACAAGATATTTATAGGCATAAAACTAACTTAGAAAATCTAACCTAATCAAGGAATGATAACCGGAATCCCTGTTATCATTATCCGGAACTAACCAAAACAACTTATCCGGATTTTAACTTTAAAAACAAGAATCAAGGAAGAGATAACTCCTAACTTTTAGAGTAATAATCTCCTAAATTCAAAAAACCCTAGGTCTTCGAAACTCCCCCTCAAGTTGGTGCATAGATATCTATCATGCCCAACTTGCTGATAAGAAACTCAAAGCTTGGTCTGAATAATCCCTTCATGAGAATGTCAGCTATCTGTTGTGTTGTTGGAACAAACGGCATACAAATAGCTCCTTCTAGCTTCTCCTTTATAAAATGTTGTTTAGTTCTGTTATGTTGCACTGGGTTGTGAACAATACTGATTGCAGCCTTGTTGTCAAAGTAGAGTTTCATAGGCATTTCTATTGGTTTCTTCAATTCCTCGAGGATACTCCATGAGCCATTGCCCGGTACTCAGCTTCTGCACTACTTTGGGCTACTACACTTTGTTTCTTGCTCCTCCAGGTGACTAAGTTTCCCCAAACATAGGTGCAATATCCAGATGTAGATCTTTTGTCAGTGACGGAGCCTGCCCAATCTGCATCTGTGTATACTTCAGTTCTTTTCTGCTTGTGTTTCTTGAAGAAGAGTCCTTTCCCTGGAGTGCTTTTCAAATACCTCAAGATTCAATACACTGCCTCAAGATGTTCTTCACGTGGTGAGTGCATGAACTGGCTTACCATACTAACTGCGAATGCAATATCTGGTCTGGTATGAGATAGGTAAATCAGTTTTCCTACCAACTTCTGATATCGTGTTGTATTTACCAGATCTCCATCTTGGGCATCTCCCAGCTTCTGGTTAGGGTCCATTAGGGTATCAACAGGCCTACATTCACTCATTCTTGTTTCTTTAAAAAGCTCAAGGATGTATTTCCTTTGTGAGATAACAACACCATTTTTTGAACGAGCAACTTCCATTCCCAGCAAATATCTTAAAGATCCCAAGTCTTTGATCTCGAATTCTGAAGCCAGACTTTCCTTCAAATGATTCATTTTAGCATAATTATCTCCAGTAAGGATGATATCATCTACGTAGACTATCAAATGCAATCTTCCCATCATCAGAGTGTTTAATGAACATAGTGTGGTCACTTTGGGCCTGGACATATCCCTGATTTTTAATGGACTAAGTGAATCGCTCAAACCAAGCTCTTGGGGATTGTTTGAGCTCATAAAGTGATTTTTTTTTAGCTTACACACCTTAGAACCAAAGGGTTTGTCAAATCCAGGTGGTGGATCCATATAAACTTCCTCCTCCATATTTCCATTTAGAAATGCATTCTTCACATCTAACTGTTGAAGCGGCCAATCAAGATTTGCTGAAATTGAAAGAAGTACTCTTACGGTATTTAGCTTCGCATTGGAGCAAAAGTCTTGAGATAATCAACGACATAGGTTTGAGTAAAACCTTTAGCCACCAACCGTGCTTTACACCTCTCGAGAGATCCATCTGAATTATACTTGATGGTGAACACCCATTTGCAGCCAATTGTTGTCTTTCCTCTCGGCAGATCTGTTATTTCCCATGTGAAGGCGAAAGAGGAATCCTATTTGAAGGTATTTTAGGAGAGAATTCAGCACTTATATTTCTCTTCTAATTCTTACATAAACCGGCCTCCTTATATAGATGAGCCAGAGAATAGCAAAATAAGTAAAGTAAAACAAATAAGTAAACAAATCAAAATAAACGAAAACTGCCTAATATTCTAATCCCTTGACTTTAGCTATCAATCCTCATCATTCCTCTATATTTGGACAGAATTAGGACAGCTATACATTCCTAATTTACCGACACCTCCCCTCAACTTGGTGCATAGATGTTTATCATACCCAACTTGCTTACAAAGAACTCAAAATTTTGTCTAAGTAGACTTTTGGTGAAGACATCGGCAATTTGCTGAGTTGTAGGCAGGAAAGGTATGCAGATAACTCCATTTTCCAGTTTCTCCTTAATAAAGTGTCTATATCAATCTCCACGTGCTTCTTTCGATCATGCTGTACTGGATTATTCGCAATACTAATTGCTGCCTTATTATCACAAAATAGCTTCATTGGTAGCTCCACCGGTTGGTTCAGTTCTTCTAGGATTCTCTTTAGCCAAAGAATCTCACAAATTCCTAGGGCCATCCCCCTATATTCGGCTTTAGCACTACTCCTAGTCACAACACTTTGCTTCTTACTCCTCCATATCACTAAGTTTCCCCATAGAAAAGTACAATAACCTGAGGTAGATCTCCTGTCCGTCACAAATCCTGCCCAGTCTGCATCAGTATAGACTTCAATCTTTCGTTGATTGCTTTTCTTAAACAGTAATCCTTTTCCTGGAGTCCCTTTCAAGTATCCTAGAATTCTATGGACTGCTTCCAAGTGTTCTTCATAGGGAGAATGCATGAATTGACTCGCCATACTGACTGCAAAAAAAATATCTGGTCGAGTATGAGACAGATAGATTAACTGCCCTACCAAACGTTGGTATCAACCGGTGTCTATAGGAACTCCTTAACTTCTCCAAGCTTCGAGTTAAACACCATAGGAGTATCTCATGGTTTATAGGTCTAGGATATACTTCCGCTGGGAAACTACTATACCTTTCTTAGACCTAGCAATTTCCAGTCCAAGGAAGTATCTAAGAGGTCCTAGATCCTTCGTCTCAAATTCAGTGGCAAGACTCTTCTTTAGTTTACAGATTTCCTCGAGGTCATCACCAGTGAGAATAATGTCATCTACATAGACAATTAAAACTGCAATTCTACCTTTAGCAGAGACCTTCACGAACACGGTATGATCAGCTTGCCCCTGTAGGAACCCTTGAGTTTTTACAAACCTCGTAAATCTATCGAACCATGCCTTTGGGGACTATTTGAGTCCATATAGTGACTTCCTAAACCTGCAACATTTCTTCCCAAAGCTCCCAACAAAACCTGGGGGAGCTTCCATGTAGACTTCCTCTCCTAGATCTCTATTTAGGAAAGCATTCTTAATATCCAATTGATGTAGAGACCAGTCCAGGTTAACTGCAATTGAAAGCAACACTCTCACAGTATTTAGTTTGGCAACTGGTGAAAAAGTTTCAGAATAGTCGATACCATAAGTAAGTGAAAACCTCTTGGCGACCAATCGTGCCTTGTATCTTTCAAGTGACCCATCATAATTGTACTTCACAGTAAACACCCACTTACATCCAACTAGTGTCTTTCCTTCTGGAAGGTCCACTTTCTCCCATGTCCTATTTTTCTCAAGAGCTCTCATCTCCTCAAGGACTGCCTCCCTCCATTCAGGAACACCTAGAGCCTCCTGTATATTCTTAGGAACAACAACACAAGACACTTTGGAAGTAAAAGCACGAAATGATGGAGACAGACTCTGATAAGACAGATAATTATACAACGGGTATTTGGTAGCTGGTTCCCTTCCTAATAGCAATAGGCAAATCTAGATTTTCATCAGACTCTAATATGATAGCTGGTTCAGAAGACTCAGACTCAAAAGGACTTGACTCAGACTGAGAATTACCTGGCTGACCTTCAATCTCAGGATTTACCCTTGGGTTAGTTTCTTGATTATGCTGCAAGTTGTTGGTCTTTTTCTGTCGTTCTGGATACTTCCTTGAATAGACCATCTAAAAGTAAATTTGGAGGAAGAATAACTTTTTCTTCTATATCATTTAGAGAGTAATACAACACACATATATATACAAAGGCCTCCTCAACAGAAAAAGGGAAACTAGTCTACGGAAGAAAAGGAAACTAGAAACTAACATCCCTAAAAATATGCTATACACCATGATCCCGTTTAACTTCCCAAAGTAACCGGGAAATACAATAAGTCAATCATTCCAAATATGGAATGATTAATATTGGGTAATAACTGAATATTCCTACACTCCCCCTCAAGCTGGAATGTAAATATTTGTCATTCCTAGCTTGTTCACCAGGTCTTCAAAATTCGGTTTGTGGAGGCTTTTTGTCAAGATATCAGCAGTCTGTTCCTTGGTTGGGATGTACGTCATGCAAAAGCTCCCATTGTCAATTTTCTCTCTGATGAAATGACGGTCCACCTCTACGTGTTTTGTTCGATCGTGATGAACTGGATTGTGGGCAATGCTGACAGCTGCCTAATTGTCACAATAGAGCTTTATGGGAGAATTAATGGAGATCTTTAGTTCTTCCAGTAGTCTTCCAAGCCAAATTCCCTCACATACACCATGTGCTAATGACCGAAACTCTGCCTCCGCACTGCTC